CGTGAAGAAAAAATATAGATCATTGCAAATGTGCATGGATTATTGAGCACTCAACAAGATTACTATCAAAAATAGATATCCTCTGCCTTTGATATCTTAACTTCTTGATCAATTAATTCAAGCTAAGACCTATACAAAAATAGATCTACAAAGAGTTTACAATCTGATCCGCATTAAAGAAGGAGATGAATGGAAGATTACATTTTGAACAAAGTATGGACACTTTGAATATAACGTCAAGCCTTTTGGACTCACGAATGCACCACTTCCTTTCCAACATCTTATGAATGATGTTTTTCATGAGTTTCTAAATGATTTTGTTGTATGTTATTTAAATGACATTTTAATCTACTCTAAGAATACAGAAGAATATGAAGTTCATATTTGTTGTGTGTTACAAAAACTTAGAGATGTGGGATTGTACACAAAGATAGAAAAGTGTGTATTCCATACTACTAAAGTTGACTTCTTAAGATATATCATTTCAAACAATGTTCTAATGATGGATGTTAAAAAAATTCAGACAATCATGGATTGGAAGACTCCAAAAACAATAAAAGATGTAAAATACTTTTTGAGATTTGCCAATTACTATCGGATCTTCATCAAAGATTTTTCTCAAGTTGCAGTGCCATTTACATGCTTAACTTGTAAAGACAAGCTTGATTGGAGTAAAGAAGCAAAAACATCATTTAAAATTTTGAAGAAAGCTTTTACTTTTGTACCAATCTTGTATTGTGTTGACTTCTCCAAAGTATTTTTTATGGAGACAAATGCATCTGACTTTGCCTTGGGTGCATTCTCATTATAAATAAGAGAAGATGGCAAACTTCATTCAATAGCTTTTCATTCAAGAAAATTTTTAGCAACCGAGATTAATAATGAAATCCACAACCATAAACTTCTTGCAATTGTAGATTCTTTTCAAGAATGGCATCATTATTTAGAAGGCACTTTAAGTCTAGTCACCCTATATATGAATTACAAAAATCTCTAAAATTTCATGTCAACATGTATTTTGAATCATTGCTAGGCTTGTTAGAGTATATCTTTGTTAAGATTTGAGTTTAATATCACTTATTGACTAGGAAAACAACAAGGTTTGTTTGATGCCCTTTCTAGACATTCTTATTTTACACCAAAAGAAAGAGAAGTAAATTTTGACCAGCAAAAGATAATTTTACTAAAGCCAAAATTATTTCATCTTAGAGCAATGAAATCAACATTGACTATTGATTTGACTTTTCTCAAGTAAATCAAAGCAAATATGTCCTCAAATCTTTTTATTCATGATATTCAAAATAATTCTTCTAAGTCTTAAGATACTTTTAAATTTGAATTTAAGGAGAATCAATTCTATTTTGAAGGACGCTTATATGTTCCAGAGAGAGAAGCATAATTACATGCTCTTGAAGCTCATCACAATTTCTCTACAACAAGACAATTTGGATATAATAAGACTTTGGAGCTTATATCTAGAGATTTTTGGTGGCCTCAAATGTGGAAGGCTTTTAAAGAATTTGTATAGACATGTGATATTTATTCAAGATCAAAAACTCCTCGTCATCGATTTTATGGATTCACCCAACCATGACCTATATCAGAACAACCATAGTCTTTTGTCTCTATGAATTTTATCACAGATCTTTCAATTTCAAGTTCATATGATTCCATATTCGTGATTGTAGATCGTTTCACCAAGATGGCACATTTTTTATCATATACAAAATCTATCATAGGTGAAGGAATAACTAAATTCTTCTTTGATAATATCTATTGCTATTATGGATTACCAAAAGATATTATATTAAACAAAGGAACATAATTTTTATCGAGATTTTAGAAAATTATTTTGAAGATATTGAAGGTGGATATAAAACTACCTTCAGCTTTCCATCCTCAAATTGATGGACAAATAGAATGATTAAATCAAGTTTTAGAGCAATATTTGAGGTGTACCATCAACTATAAACAAGATGATTGGATAAGATAGGGGATAAGGTATGATTACTTTGTCATAATATTAAAATTATTTCTCCTTATGACAAGTTAGATCATCGCAAGCTTGGACCATTTTTTATTTGTAAACAGATCAATCTAGTTGCTTATCGATTATACCTATCGGAGTCTATGAAAATCCATCTTATATTTCATGTGTCTTTACTTAGGCCATACAAGACAATAGATATACAATGAAGGAAACAAATGCCATTACATCCTATAGAAGTGCATAATAATAAAGAATTTGAGGTGGAAGAAGTCTTAGATTCAAGGCATTGCCAAAATAGGTTAAAATATCTAGTACATTGGCATAGATATGATATTAAAGAATGCATATGAGAGCCATCCAAAAATCTAGCAAATGCATCAACCAAAATTAAAGCTTTTCATCAACGACATCTATCAAAATCAAAATGAAGAGTCAAGTAATTCTTTGCTACAAAGCAAAGCAAGCCAAATGGAGCTTTTATTTTATCTTGTATTATTATTTCTTTGGATTTTTTAGTGCTTAGGAGAAAGAGAACTAACAACCACCAATTCAATTCAAGAGCTATCATTTGTTGAGCTACCAGACAAGACATTGCGACTATCACAACCTTTGAGATAGCAAAATCGAGATGAAAACCATCAAGAACGACATATTTTTCCTCGAATAGATGGCAAGATACAACGTGTTTGGTACCACGACCTTGAGAGGGACTCCCGTTGTTTAATAATACTTTTAGAGATATGAACTACTCTTGATGGTATTACTAATGTTTTGTTTGAAGGAAGTTATAAAAGCCTTAATATTGATCAAATATCAAGGTGGTCTTCTTGATGTGGTATAGAACATTATCGATAGTTGAAGGAACCTATCAACTACCTTTGAAGGGAACAAAGATCATAGTATGTGATAAATATAGTTTAGTGGATCTTAGACTTTATCTACATATAATCACCGCTCTTCATGGAACTCGTCCCTAGAAGGGAGGTTGTGTCAAAGACATATATATTTATCCTAATAATTATCTAGATAATAAGAATAGATAAAAATAAGTCAAAGTAGATAAATATGATAATATCTTATGCAAAACTTCATAGCTTTTATGAAATGAAGAAGATGAAATTTCATGAAATTGATTCACTAAGAAACCTCAATTTTGAAGCATTGTCTTGAAGTAATCATTGCTCCTCCAGATTAACTTTAAACCTTTTGCTATTTATATTCAAAATATAGTCCTTTGAATCAACTTTTCAATTGTACAATTTGATCCTTAAAAGCTCTTTATACACATGTGTTGTGCCCCAAGAAGTGACAATTGGTATAAAATCAACACCTTAACTTCAAGTGCCTATGTCTTCCTCATAAAAACTCCAAATCACACAAAATTTTCACCAAAACCATACCCAAAATCTTGAACTTAATGACCCTGACATGTGATGTTCAAATTGTTTTGAAAGAAAAATCCTAATTCCTAATAAGGCCTTGGACAGCCTCCTTGAAGCCCATTAGACATGAATTTTGGCTAATAAGAATGGAAACTTTCATCATCAATCTCCATTCATTCATATGGTTGACTAAAATCCTTCTCTAATCTTTTTTCGAGTAAGTTTTACATAGTATGTACCTTAAATACTAAATAAAAGAAACAAAACAAGATTTCAAGAATCAAAAATTTCTAACAAAGATGGCTCTAAATAAATAAAACTATTATCAACATAAAACAATACAATGTGTATACATATTTAAAGGATAATTTAAACTAATAAACTTGTTGTAGCATGTAGATATTTTCATCTTGTTTGCAAATCAAACCATTAGAATTAGCCTTAACCTAATCAACTTGGACAATAGAACCCCAACTTCACCCCACAAGTTAATAGTTATTCATCCAGTGTTCTTTCCTCTAGGAATGGCATTCCCAGTTACCGTTGAATTATCCAACAACAGTGTCCTCTTGGATGCAAATCAGAATATCTTTTCACACCGCTCGACTTGTAGATGAATGTGTTTATTCATTCATCCATACGAGCTCATTCCGAGACGCACCAATGGAATTGAGGGAAGCGAATCTGACCGCGGTCAAAGGGCCTCTCGAAACCCACCCACCAACTTTCAGGGAGTGACTAAAAGTAATTCTAAATTCCGTGGGGCCAGAGTCTATTCCGTGGTCATGAGTGGAGGATGACGTGGACAAACCTGGACCTGAACAAATGAAGCTGGACGACGTTAGTTGGATGAGAAAATCAACACCTTTTTTTGTGGTTTTGAATCTGAGAATCAAGAGATGAGAAGAAAAAAAATCAACCCTTGAAAATATGTGAAACTGTGGTTTTCTGAAACATCTGTCACTTGATCCCACTCACCCACAAATATATTTCTAAAAAAAGTACAAGTATGTTAAATAAGTATAAAATATGGGGAATTGATTATTGTTGACAAAACCAATATTGCTATTATAATCAACATAATCATTGTCTTTATTATTGTCATAGCTGGAATGGATATTGCTTGCAATATTAAGTGAGAAAAAGAAAGATGTAAAGTACAATAAAGAATAAAGTGGGTGAGCATTTGGGTATTTGCAAGGGTTGTTGAATTGAAAATGGAGTTCCAGAAGTCTTGAGAGCATGGCACCTTTTGTACACTGAAAGTGGAGTTTATAAAGTTCACATCCTCTTTTAACATGATGGGTGCTAGAGATACAATGTTGAATTTTTATATGAAAAGGTGGTTGTAACTCAACCATCCAAATTCAACAACACTTTTTTACAAACTATGATACAGTGGTATGTTGGTACTCGTGCAGTGACTGTTTAAATCCCAACAGCGAAAATTCTCAAACAAAACTTGATGAATGTTAGAACGGATACAGTCATTCTCTTATTTCTCAGAAAATAAAATAAATAAAAGTGAATCAACAACACTCTCCGATTCTCACCCCATGAACTGAGCATTTGAAGAAAAATACCAATGCCCTTTGGTTAAATTCCACCTGACAACTCAACGCAAAGAGTGACAAATGGGCAACAATTGACAGGTGGTCAATCAACACTTTCAACCCAGAAAATTATGAAGTGAACAGAATGTTATGAATTGGGCTCCAAAATCTTTGGATCATGTATCGAGTACTACAAAACTACGGAATTGGGATACAAACAAGTTTTCTCTAAAGGTGATACTTTTTTGTCTAATCCTGTTACTTCAATTAATCGAATCATGATGTTTCTCATTTTCTTGCCAATGAGAAGGTGCATTACCAACTTCTCAAACACCATTTCTGAAAATAAAATCCTAGTTTAATGCGAAAAGTTTGTCCCACACAACGAAAGCTCATGAAGACGTTGTGAACGAGTTGCTAAACTTGGTTGTGGGCACATGAAAGATTCATTTCGATTTGTCATCGCCACCAAGAGCTATTCCCCAAAGCCGTGGACTGTTCTGGTAAACTGGATCGAGTTCGTCTTCATGAAAAAGCAGATTAGCAACATGACAATGGAAGCAGCGGATCGCGCGTCACGACATGATCCAGAGAAGGCGATGCAGGGCGATTCACGGCGAAAGAGGGAGCGGGCGGGAGAGAGCGATGCAGCAGGGGGGGCATGGATAATTAGTGTGCCAGAGCTAAGGGACGAGAATCTAGAAGGTGCGCATGGACGCCAGCCAAATCTGGGCGCCGAACCTGCAACAACAGGCCGTGGTGGGATGGGGCCCCCATCACCCGCACCAGGCTCCAGCTCCAGCACTCCAAGGGCGACCTGGTTTGGAATGGAGATGAGGGCACTGCCGCTCCCTCCGAGACTGGGTCTCAGCCCAATGACACAACTCGGCGCTCGTCATCGCAGAGGCAGAGCGCACGGCGGCGACAGCGAGGCGTGCTCGGCTTTGCTAAACTGCTGCGACATTGTGCGCGCCTGAAACCCTAATTTCCCTCCTCTCTCTGTCTCTCAGTCTCTGTCTGTCCGTCTTTCTTGCTCTGTCTCTCTCTCTCTCGCCGTGTGTCGCTGGTTCTTCGCCACCATCATTGCTCTTCCCAATTCAATTGATGTGTGGATGGCAGCGATGGTAGGTGGGGTTGCGGTCATCCACACGCTCACATCTCTCTCTTGGTCACATCCAGTTAGGAGCTTTCTGGAGTGTACGCTTTCTCCCTTTGTGTGAGTGTGAGTGTGCGTGTGTTTACTGGATGTAGTCCATTACGTACAAATGCACCTCTATACACATTGAATCTGTATTTCCTTCTCAACTACCATGGTTTTGTTATTTCTCCATCCAATGTCGAAATACCTTAAACCACGTCACTCCCTTGAACGAACAACTAGCAGTGCGAAGAAAGTGATGCAATCATAAAGCTGACGGTGAGCGAGCCAGACCTTGTACTTTAGTCCCCTCACCATCCGCTTCTGGATCGCTCAGTTGAGAATTGATAGACATGGCGGTGTCATGACCCTTACTTTTGCTCTGATTTCTCACAGTTTTGCTTACGTCTATGCCTTGCAAAATGGGATAAATAATGTATTGTCATTCTGCTCCATACGCTTAAGATATAACTATACTATTTCGATATATTGCAATTTTTTCATTCAATATTTTATTTTCTTTGTTATTTTTTTGAAGTTGTATTGAATATATTTTAAATTATGCAAATAAATACAAGACTAAGACCAAAGCTGAGTATTGTAACAATTTACACTTGATTTAAGTGTAGTTGGGGACATTGATTTCAAAAGTCAAATTAACTAACTATTCAATTAATTTGCAATAATATTAATTGGTAAATTGTATATGACTTTTGCAAACTATTTGATTCTTTCACTAATCTCTATAGTATCATAATGCAAATATATATATATATATATATATATATATATACATATATACATTTATATTTGTAATAGGGCTCATTGCTTTGTTATAGGAATAGCATGTTAAAATAACACAAATTTGAATGCTTTTGTGAGGTTGAAAATTAGTTTGTTAGTCTGGATTGAGTTTTACTATTGTTGTTATTTATGAATGTAAAACAAAATCTTATTTAAAATCAAAACCAAATATTTTTTGCAGGTTATGTAGGGATGCATGACATGAGGATGTTCATGCAGTAAAAGAGGAGAGTGTGCACCCAACAGTTGTCTAAAAAATTGTAGATGGATTTATAGATCAAATGGACATATGAGGAGAAAAATGGGACTTGGGATAGACTTTGTATATAAGAATAGCATTTGGTTTGCACTTACTGTGAGCTTCTTGTAGAACAAAGATTAACAATTATAGTGGTGGAATTTTATTCTGCATAGAATTATCGTCTAATAAAAGTAACTTGAATAGAAATTTGGATATGATTGTATTTCTATATCCTACTTGTTCAAAACCAATGAATGATTAACATGTTTACTTAATATAAATTGGAAGTTTTACAATGTAAAAAAATATATTGTCATGTTTAATTCAAGTGCTAAAACATTGAACTTTGTTTACAATTACACCAAAATAACACCTATTAATAGCTAAATTAATAAATACATTGTAATATGTAAATATAAATATATTTTAAATGTATAAATACTTTTTTAATTAGAAAAATTACACCAATAACACTTTTGTAATTTATTTAGTATATAAATATCTACTGTTGAATTTTACACCAATTTCAAAGCTTCAGAATTTATGTAAGATTTTTGTCACATTTGTTTAAAATGTATGTATGTATTTATGTACATAAACGTAAATATAAATATCATATTATATGATTTGAATTAATAGTTTTTTCATCATAGCATTCTAAAAAAGGGTGGTACACTTGAATATGATAATAGAGTTGAAAATATTGGGATTCATCGTCAGCTGTCCATCACAAGATCCCAATTTTGACTGATGTGATTGTACACGGGTATGGTTATGTGTAAAAGACTGGGTATGGATATGTTTATGTTGATGTCTATCTGGCTCGAAGCAATGTCAACCGAAATTAACAAGAAAAGTTTGTACAAATGCAAATAAATAGTGCTCGACAACCCGGGTTTCAATGAAGCAGCGAGTCACTGAGCAAGCTATTCATTTATTCATTCCGATCAGAGCAACAGACATCCACGGTGATGTCCCCCACACATGGGAATCCATGTCCGTATCTGCACCCCTCACTCCGACTGAGACGAACTCTGCTGCTTTTCCTGGGTCCTATTCCCGCGCATGAATGCTAGCCAGGTAGAATACAGCGCAGGGTGGGAGGGGGAGGGGTGATGCCGCGGGGTCTCGGCTGTGGGGGTACGAACTTACTGCTGGTGTTGTGGTTATGGGGGGATTCTGCAATTCGCGTCGACAAAATGGTGGCAGTGGAAAGCAACTTGCTCTCTCTATCTCTTCTCCCTTCGATTGTCCTCCATTTTTACACCTATTTTCATACAACTGTTCTCTCGTAGTGCTGTGGCCTCGGAACCTCCGAACTCAATCAACTTGCTCCGCCATCGTGGGCTGTCGGATCGCGGCTACCGCTCAGATTCAATATTGGGCGCCGATCCGTTGTTTGGGAACGGAGGGAGGGGACGTGGGGGAACCCGAGGGCGGGAGTAGGTCGGGGACGATTCACAACTCCAACCCACGAGTGCTTCCACTACTCAATTGGGTTTGCATTTGGGCTCTCGCTTGAGCTGGGTTGCGTTCCTTGTGGGGCCCACACAAATCCACATTCCACACAACGAAAGGCTATGCTGAAGTTTGTTCAGGAACTTGCCTCTCTCCGCATCCCAAATGAGCCATATGATTACCACCACGACCAAGTATAATCTGCTCAATCATGTTCTGTATATCTCACAGCTCTCAGTTTTTGTTTTGTTTTTTTTATATATTTTTAGTTTTGGCTTCCTTGTCCCAATATTGTGTTAAGATCTCAGAGAGTAACTCTTTGTGTAAAGTTGCAAAGTATTGTAATAATGAATTTTGACTATATATGTTATGACTTTGTTCGACAACCGTCTGTTTTGATTGGTTCGCAGGGGAGGGAGGGTGACTGGGACTCGTGGCCCCCTCCCTCCCTCCGCCTGCATGGTCACCCACTGCCCCCCCCCCCCCGTCTCGGTCCCACACCCCCACCCCTGCGCTCCGTTGCGTTCCCGAGCATCTGTTTAACGGCCACGATCAGACGTAGTGATGTGAAGGCTGAGAGGCCTCGAGCTAATCGATTGAGTGGGGAGGGTATCGAGGCCACGACGCAGTGGGGTTTTCTACCCCCAAAAGTGACGAAAGTGAAAAGAGGAAGTTGGGAGAGGGGTCATAGATGTCATCCATCCAGCTCTGTTTGGTTGCCCAGGCATCGAGACGAAGAGCTGCGTTGGAATGTTTTTGCAGGACGGGGGGATGGGGCCCTGGCTCCGCAGCACCACGCCTTTCTACCCCTCTTCCCTCCAGCCCATGAGTTCCCTGCACTCACTCTCTCACTCACTCACTCTGTGCTTGAGTTTGTTTGTAAGTGAGTGTGTGTGAAGTCGTTTGTCATGGAAGGATCGCGGGCCCTCCTCCAACTTCCAGCTTCGGTGACCGCATTCATGATGCTGCTTGGTTGGTATTTATGTATTTTTCTCTCTCTTTTGTTTGGTTTGGTTTAATAAGGAAAAGCCCAACTGCTTTTGCAATGTGAAAAAAGGATGCGTATGCGGCTAGACTGTAGGACATGGCGGAAGAAAGTGGTGGAAGGGCTGGCAACCAGTAGGGACTGCAGCCAAATAGCAGGTTGACCAAAGGGGAGGAGAAGCGTCAGGATGGGAAGGATAGCTTTTTCCACGAGGAGGAGCTTCTGAGAGCTTAGGCCATGCCTCGCAACGATAAAAGGGGGAAAAAGCCAGCTGCAGCGACATGGGAGAAAAAAGAGCGAGGGAAGGAAGAAGCGATGATAAGATATGTGGATGCCAGGACGTTAGAAACAACAAGCACGACGGGGTCAACCTAGAGGTGAAAGGAGCTCCACGAGCCCACGCCCCGGGAGTTACTAAGAAGAACCCACCACGGCCCCTTTTCTCCGTGGGCTTTTTGAGCAAGCCAGTGTGGCATGGCACAGCGGGGACCGATGACGGGCGAAGAGGAGAGGAGATGGTCGCCGATCCATGGAAGAAGAAGCTGCGCATCCTTAACGTTTGATGATGGGACCCGGGAATGGGAGGAGGATGTTGGATGAATGGTGGAATAGTTTGGCGGCGAATCCTCCATGTGCTCTTGGATTGGGGTTCTAAATAAAGGGCGAATGAGAGTCGATTTGGGAGGAGCCATTGATAGATTATAGGAGGTAGGGCTGGAAATAGGAGGTGTGATGGAAGTGAGCGTTGGTCGATGGAGGGGGGTCAGGCCATTGTCCACGAATTGGACAAGAGTAGATGCTGGACCTGAGAAACATGCCCGATGACGAATGGGTCAGTGGATGAGATGAGAGAGAGAGAGGGGAAAAGAGAGAAAGAGAGAGTCGGAGAGGGACAGAGAAAGAGAAAGAGAGAGCGAGCGAGGGTGGACTTCTGTACTTCTAGGTTTATCAGAGTTGTTGCCTTGAGAGTGGTTCGTGGTTGTGTGACGATGGTGAATTGTGACGTTAGGGTGAAGTGGAAGGTGAGGTATGGTGGGCTGGGGTGGTGAGGGATTCTTGCAGAGGAGATGATGGATGGGTTTAAAGGGCAGGGATGATTTTGGCGAATTCTGGAGTCTGTTGAGCGTTGCTGGGTTGGCTTGTGCATCACCAGGACTAGGGCAGAACTATGGTGATCTAATAGTTGGGGATCATTGAGTGGCCGTGGCGAGTGTTTACGGAACTTCTATGGAGCGGTGCAGCAAGGGGGCTCTGAAGTTCTGTAATAGTTTCGTCCTGTGCTAATCGCGGTGTCGCGGTGCTAGTGCGCAAAGAACACTTGGTATAATCTTAAAGTCCACAATGCAAGATAGCCCAAATTGCTTCCGGAAAACGAGGGGAGCCGTTGTTGAAACTTTGTGGTTAGGATGAATGGAGATAGAGAAGAATTATGGTGTCTGGCAACAAAACAATTCTCTCGCAGTGGAAGCGGCGTTTCTGGAATTCGGGAGTGCTGGTGTTGGGATTCGCAGTAGTTGGGGCTTCAGGTTCTTGATGGGAATAGCCCGATCTAAGTAAATGGGCAGCGAGGTGCTATATTCCCTTGCGAAGATGGTGAATGTGCCAGCTGCACAGGGGCCATGGGTGGGGTTTGCGCGCCCAGTAACTCCTGGCAGTGGAGGACGACTTACTACGGATCTTCCAGCGACTGGAGCCATTGGAAAGCAGAGCTTTCCCAAAGAGGGCACTTTTATTGATTCTGATCATTTCATGGAGCTTTTGGAGCGCAGCGGTTCGGGTGACTCTCATCTAGCATCTCTCATGCGACTGTACGAGGATCGACAGGTCAATGCTGTTAATCTCCTCAAGCAGCAGCTTGAAACACTAAACTCAGCTCGATTGGAAGCCGAACGGCGTCAGACCCAGATCATGGAGGAAAACTTTTATGAGCCCATGTATGCTGTTGGCGAGGGGTCCACCCTCAGTGAAGACAGCCCTAGATACGAACACTATCTTGGCGACGATGGCCCTGGGTCGTGGAGCTCTGTTCCTGGGAGCGATACCTGCTCACTGGAGATGGAAGGAGATAGTTTTGGTCCTGCTGAGTACTGGCGAGATCGTGCGCGTAGTTACGCCAAACTCTTGACGGATAGCATTCGGAGAGAGGAGCAACTGGTTGAAAAGTTGAATGAGTATGCCTCGATGCCTCCCTCGAATTGGCAGCCTATTGAAGAACTTCGCACGCATCTTCACCGTTTTGATAATTTTTTGCGATTTTCCTTGAGGAAAGCTCCAATCGTAATTGGACATCAGGTGCTTTGAACCAACCTTCTATGGCAATTGCAAATTCACCTAATATTGCATATCTTGATCTTATTCTTGTTTGCGGTTACAATTGGCAATCGTGGAACCTTCATTAAATTATGTAATTGATGCACAATTTTTACTCGTAGGAAGTGGTAGGAGACTCAAGTAATAGGCAACGACTTTAGTGTTTCCAACTAAGTTAGCTATATTGAATTGTTAATTGCGTCGAGACACCCCTTCACTGTGATGGCATCGATTTGCGACATGTATCTATATCTCAATGATTTCAGCAGTCGAAGGTGATCATTGTGTGTGTCTCAGAAATGATGCGTATGCAGTTCCTCTTCGTAGTCTCGATCCTGTTGGAGTTTATACAAGACATGCGGCATCTGAGTCTCAAATAAATCTAGTGAATGCTAGATACGTTTCAGAATTTAGTTTGGTTGTGTTGCAGGCTGAAGAGACATAAAAGCCTCCGTTGATCTGTCTTGCAGGACAACGACTTGCGGCATCGATTTATCTACAACGCCTTTCCCACATTGTCAGAAGAGGTACATTCGAAGTTTTCTACTTTTTCTCATGAACTTCGTTCAAATTAACTGTTCGTGTTGTCAAAGGTGTGGTTGTCTCAGACATTTGTGCATGAAAAATTCGAATGTTAGACCTTATGTAGGTGATACTGTACAGACAAGCTTGAAGTGGATTCTGTCATGTTTCTATCTAGGTCGGGCTTTCGTCTTTTCAAGCTATCTGCTCCTAATGAGCAATACATTATCACATTCCTTAGTAACATGTTTCATCATATACTTCTAGTTGAGGATCCGTTTCTACGATCGTACTGAGAAGGCCCTGTAGTAACAGAAATGCATATAGTAGCCTTCTATAAACTCTCTCTAACGTCATCTTCTTGTTTAGGAAGTGATTGGGAAGACCGATTTAGAGATATTCAGGGGATCTGGAGTGGCGGAGGTGATGGATTTCAAGCGTGAGGTTATTCGGAAGGGTCGTCCTGAGAAACGCGAAATTCATTTCAACACAGACCTCTTTGGTGAAAAAACATTTTTGGTTGCTGTGGAACCTGTGCTGAGTCAGTCAGGAGAAGCGATGGGCATCAATTATGTTGCCATGGATGTTAGTGAACAGGTAGACAAGCGTGAACGAATTTCCCGCCTTCGCGAGCAAGTGGCTGTGCAGAAGGCTATGGAGGCCGAGCTACACAAAACTATCCATATCACCGGTACTTCCCTTCTTGACTTGTCATGAAAGATGTAACATGCCAATGTAACGTAATTAGTTTGCAGAGTCCATTTTCAGGTGTTCGAAATTTTGAGGGTATTAATGTGGTGCCTAAGTGGATACAAATCTTGGAATTGCTCAGAAGAAGCAATGCGGGCAAAGCAGATGCTGGCGACGATGTCGCACGAAATCCGTTCCCCCTTGTCTGGCGTAGTCAGTATGGCCGAGGTCTTGGCCACTACACAGCTTGACGAGGAACAGCGGCAGCTGGTTGATGTGATGGTGTCGTCTGGTGACCTTGTTTTGCAGCTAATTAACGACATCCTAGATCTTTCTAAGGTTCAGTCTGGTGCGTAATACCACTTTGTCATGGCTTGTGTGGGCTAACTGCTACATCTTCGTGTTTCTGTGACTTGGAAGACTTGCCTTATTGCTCATGGTGTGAACCTGTAAAGATGTTACTGAATGTTATGGTGTTGCAGGGGCAATGAAATTTGAGGCAAAAAAATTTCGACCACGTGAGGTCGTGAAGCACGTGTTGCAAATGGCTCTCGCTAACACGCAATCCAAGAACCTCATCCTAGAAGGACGAATTTACGATGATGTCCCGCTTGAGGTCATTGGGGACGTTTTGCGGATTCGTCAAGTTTTCACCAATCTAGTTGGGTAATACATCTTTGGACCACTTCTTCCCTTTTATATGTGATTTAACGCTCGGTGTCTAGTATGACACTCGTATCATGACGCACGTACATCAACGAAACATTACATGTCTTAATGCTAACCGATCTATTTATGTTTTCTGTGTGTGTAGTAACGCCATCAAGTTCACACATGAAGGAAATGTGACGATAAGTGTGCGTGTGGTCCCGCCTCCCCCTCCTTCCATAGAACGAGCAGCCAAGAATGTTTTTCACGCAGCTACTGGGATTTCTGCAACTGCTTTAAGCCATTTAGCACCGTCCACTGGAACTCTACCTGGTAGTCCAATACCAAGTTCTTCTCTGATGGCCTCACACCATGAAGCAAGTGAAACTGCAGTGAATTTAAATTCTACTGGTAACAATTTACATCCGTCAAGCGTTCAATCGACTCCTGACCGTGAGGAACCTGCAGTGGACGAAGGGGTTGAGGATACTGTTTGGTTACTTTGTGAAGTTTCCGACTCCGGTATTGGCATCCCAGGTGAGCTAATCCAGGAACATCAATTACTTATGCGTTTTTATACCGATGAATACATGTTTGATAAAATTACCATGAAAGCATTATACAAGTTTGGGTATGTATTGCTTAAGCTTAAGCTCTTTCCAAGTAGCCAAGAGTTGTCTTAGATTTGGTGCTGTCAGAGCATCTGGAAATAGGTTTCTTATCTATGGTGATGCTCATTGGTATTTGCTTATGGTCCTCTTTTGGTGTGGCTTTGCTGATAGTTGATTGTTTTTCTGTGTGTTTCTCTGCGTGCTATCTGCAGAATCAGCGCTTCCGACATTGTTTGAGAAGTATACCCAGGTTAGTGCTACTCATGCGCGGAAGTATGGCGGCACTGGATTGGGCTTAGCTATCTGCAAAAATCTGGTAATCAATACGAATGTATAACTAACTTTTTGATTTTCCTTTTGCACAAATTGCATAGTGCACTTTTGTTGCGAACTCTACCTGTTGACTTGTTTGATTCAGTAACCTTTATTGTGTTGTCTTGTTCGTTTGAATGGTATTGGGGCATGATTGCTGTTGATATCTTCTTTTTTAAGAAAATTATACTGAAGGTTCTAGCTATGTAGAGTGGTAGGACATGCAGAAAATTGACTCTTATTTTAAGTGATTGTCCACTGTATTGTTATATTTACTATAAGTCTATGATTTTCAATATATTTTGTATTGTGGTTGAACGCGAAATGTGCAGGTGGAGTTGATGGGCGGAAACCTGACAGTTGTGAGTAAAGAAAATCACGGTTCGACGTTCTCCTTCGCCCTACCTTTAAGAGTACATCCAGAGAGGTCTATGAGTTCAGGTCGACTTAGTGATGAGGTTTATGAGATGATGACGAAGGAGGCGAGAACGGAGGGTGTCAATGATAGATTGGCATCATCAAAAATGGTTGGTTACTACCATTTTACATCGAAAGTTGCGTCGAAACCTCCAAGTCCATCTTCAAGTCCACCCATTTCACGCAGCCGTTGTAGCTCATTATCGGTTGATGTGTCCACTCAATCAAGCTCTCAACAGAGAACCAAGAGCGCATCAAAAAGTCGTGACGGTCATGCACCTTTAAACCGTCGAAAAACAACTTCGGGAAAGCCAGTTGCCTTAGGATTTTTCCAAGACGGATCACCGGAGTTTATGGACGTCGACTCAAAGGCACTCGACCGTATGGAGTACATACCTGGCTTATCTATTCCAGGGTCCCAAAGTCCAGCACCTCCTGTATCAAAGCACATCATAGACGGGTCTTCATCCCGTACCCCTCGTCCTTCGTCTAAGGTCCGGATGCCGAAAATTCAGGCATCGCAAGCAAAAAATGTTGGGAATAGTCCAGAAAGAACTATGCCGCCACATTCAGCTCAAGGTGTTTTGTCCCAAAGACGGTCTCGAATATTGCTGGCTGAGGACAACAAGGTGAATGTGATGGTGGCGCAGTCAATGATGCAGCGTCTTGGTCACAAATTGGAGGTTGTTAGTAATGGAGCGGAGGCAATCGAAGCCTTAAAGCGAAATTCATATGATGTTATTTTGATGGTAAGTTCCTAGGCATAGTATTGCTTTTGTTTACGTGTCAACATGCTATTTCGCAGCGCGAAGCAACTTGGGCGATGGAGTTTTAATTATTGTTTTTTATGCACTAGTAATATGTAGATTTTCTGCCCTTGAAGACAGTGACTGCAGTTCAGTTATTACTTTGGACTTCGATCCCAGCTTCTTTCATTTAAACCTGTGATAATTACCCCAATTCTTCATATGTCTCGTTCTTGAACTCAAACTTCGTTATTTACTGACTGCAGTTGCTTGTTGCTGTGCAGGACGTCTGTATGCCGGTTATGGATGGACTTGAAGCCACGCGAAGGATACGTCGTTACGAAGCAACAGGATCATGGGAGGACTCGAAAGAAGGGGAGACGATTAGAAACGCAGAGTCCAGTTCTTTCCAACGTTCTCCGCCTGTGAACTTTACCAGCACACAATCTCATAGTCCAATGCGACAAAGAACTCCTATTATTGCGGTATGTTTGTACGTGCAATTATTTTAATCTAAGACCTGTTTTGATCCAATTGTTTCTTTTCGCATGCTGCAACAGGTTGTGCTGAGGCTGTTGTTTTGTGAGTTTCTTCTCTGCCTAGTATTTACTGAAGTTCCAAGAATATGTGTTTGTGCTCTCTAGTTAGTTACGCTTGTTTTGATTCTAGAAGGTTCACAACACATATCACAGTTTTTCGCTTTCTATTTTCTACCCAATTTCTGTTCACATTTTCATATATTTCAATGTTGATACGAAATATTGAAGCTTGGTTTACTATTTGCAGATGACAGCGAATGCTCTGACTGATAACATGATGGAGTGTTATATGCATGGAATGGATTCCTTCGTGGCGAAGCCTGTGACGTTTATGAAACTAGAACAGGTGCTGAAGCAATTCGTACCCTGTCTTGACCGCGGCCAAAGCTCATCAGATCAATCAACTTCGGACAACTCGCGTCCGCTGAGGTATACTAATAGCAAAGATACCCCCACTCTTCAAACAAATATGACGGAGTAGGTGTATGACCGTGCAAAACCTAGCACTTTAAAACTTAAGCTCCATTTGAAAGCTCTGGAACACATGGCGTAGCTCTCGAGGACCAGAGTCACGTACAGGAAATCTTCCAGTGGATCGTTTGCAAAATCCTTTGCTCTATTCCTGGTTTAGAAAACTACACAAAATACTTCAAGGCAAAGTTCTGTACTCCAGCTGATCTTCTGCATGTCTGAGCTGTTCGAGTTAATACCTTTGAAGAGCCGCCTGTTGGAGTACTTGCGAAAGCGCCGACTGTATGGTGATCGTGAACAGGAATTGGGTACCCCATTCTTTTGTGAAACCTTTTCACTAGCTCAAGGAGTGAAGTATCAGCTGCAATGCGGGCATTATTTGTCTATGTTCAGATCTAGAGGATGGTTTCGTCCCTTTGTTGCAACATTTGCTGGTGCGTGCGTGATGACGTTCAACATTTTCCCAGGTCAGGCGACTTGAAGTGTAAATATATTTTTGTACCATAGAATTGGATCCCTCTTCTAAACATATTTAAAAAAACGTGATACTAGCTCTTTTAGCAAGAAATCGAGGCCTTCGTGATTTTACGATTTATCATGGACAAGGAAGTCAGAGTTCAAATGTGATTTTATGGGTTGTATTGCTTTTTTCACATTGTAATGTTTTTGTTATGATCTAGGATTATCACATCTTTAAGCGTCCGTTTCGTTCACGTAATTTGCAGTGTACTTGCAAAAATGTAAGTTTTTGGATGAGAGTGTAATAAAGTACATACATTGCACCTTTCTACGGCACTCCACATAGTCATTAATTTGCATTGTCTGACACTGCAATAAATAAATTCACTAATGGCAATCCATGTCAGCAATTGCGAGATTTTTTTTTATTGATAAGCAGTTAATAATTCATTGCGTATACACATGTGAGTTTAGACTAAGTAGCATCCAGGTTCTATGGCTTTCACTTCCAATCTGATTCTAAATTGTGGATGAATAACATCAATTTGATTTTAATGTACGTCACTTCTGTTTTATCACAAAATACTACAGCCTACTTTATAAAAAGGTGTAACCTAAAAATTTGGATCTTCAAAGTAGTTAATGAAACAGAGCTTAAATAAGGATCTTAGTGTAGCTACTAAAACAGATCAAACATATTTGAATTTTAGGTCAACATAACTGACCAAAACTAATTCACGGGCCTGATTTTGAATAATATCAAGTAAAACATTGCTAAAGTGTGGTATTCTTCTTCCAAGACAAAATCTCTAAATCTTTGTTCAACGTTGTTCCAGAGGATGACTTAGGGGATCAAGTTATATATATATATATACACACATACTTAATTATTCTCTTCTGCAGGGCTCGGTGGTGTTTGAAAAAAGAGTTAAAACTTTCTAATGTCTCTGAAATACTTGCAGAGAATCTCATAGATCTGAAATCTTGTTGATGTGTTCCGTACTAAAGTAAACAATGTCTTGTACAAGGAGTCTTGTAAACCAATTTTTTAATGTTTAATACTAAATATAGGAAAACATTAAATTTATTTAGATGTAAAATATTTAGATCCTTAACAAACTTTCATAAAATAATTATAAATCTATTGAAAGTCATGTTGTAAGATGAAAATTACCGAAAACAAGAAGGGCAATATTTGAGGTTATTTAAGATGTGACTGAGAGGAATGCTTTCTTTCCTGTGATGTGTTGAAGAAAAATTCCTAACTTAATATTTGATACCATGATTCCAAAAATATATCTAAAAAAATCAAGAAAACTATCCGAATCAATGGTACACATCAAAAATATGGAATAAGTGGTGCAATCAAAAAATATATCCAAAAAAAAAGGGTAAATTAGAATTGATTCAAACTTGTGAAATTAAAAATGTATATTCTTTGGTTGTAAAATATATGAATAAAGTGGAAAAGAAAGTCAAAGGAAAATAAGCTATTTTCCTTTCAAAGTGTATCAAAAACTTATTTATTTTTATGAAATTTTTTTAAGTATAAAAGCTTCTATTTGGAAGGTTAAGAGATTAGAAAATTGTCCAAATATTTAAAGGAGGGTATAAGTTTAAAAAATGATGTTAATAGAATAAAGCAGATTTATCTCAGATAAATTTTCAAAAATATTTGCAATCTTTAATTTATAATTAGTTATTTAATTTTCTTTCTTTCAGAAAGAGATTTTCTTAGATTAAAAATTGAGATCAAAAGAAGTACTGATCATCTTTGTGGATATATATATATGTACCTACATACATACATATTATTAGAATGGACTATTGTAAAATAAAAAGCACCTTTTTTCTCTTCAATGTATGATGTCTTTGATGGATCACCAGGCATTAAATTTAATAGATTGATAAATTTGAAGCAAGATGTTACTAGATCTTTACTGCCAACAGAATTATACAAACATTGTTTTGGTAATAAATCGTAAATTAAACCTTCTTATTATGGTGTTTTTGTTCCAATTATTTTTTCATTGCATATCTAATTTTATTTTAATTAGCTAACAAAAAAAATGTAATAGTACGTAAGGAAATCACCAACATATAATATTACCACAATTAGAATTTGCAAAAAATGATTTGTTTAAAAACTAAAGAAATATTAATTTGAAAGGAAAAAAATCCTTACATTGAAAAAATATTATATATATATATATATATATATATATATATATATTTATATTTATAATTTTTTTATCAAATATATATATTTTTTTTATTGATTCGAGTCAATAAAAGGCTATACAAAAGATTTAAATAACATTGAGAAACACATCTATAATAATGAAGCAATTAGTGGAACCAAGTTAAAAGTATTAAACAAAATTTATAAATAATTTTTAGTAACATATAGAAGATAAGTATTACATGCAATTAAAAAAAATTCTATATCAATTATAGCCACTATAAAAAAATATATAAAATAATTACAATATCTAACAAAACGAGTGCTTAAATTATTTTTATGTAACTATTTTTACATGTGTTGTAAGAATTAATTTATAACATAAAAATAATTTTAAAATGAAATAAATTAATAAGATTTAAAATATTATTTAAATTATATATGGTTCAAAATATTTTAAGATATTTTAAACTATGTTTAGGTAAATATTTTGAAATATAGAAATATGTATAATTTATATATGATATTGCTAATGCCATTATAGTTTTTGCTATTGTTACCACAACTTGCCACCAACTTGACATATCATTTTAGTTTTTTTTCCTTCTAATCTAAAATTATGTTCAATCAAATAGTTTAATAGATACTATAAAAGCAAAGGTGGCATGTGGTGGATGGCAGGTTGAAGTTGCATTAGTAATAAACTAAAGTTTATAAAATTTAAATTTAATCATTTACATTTTAAAGTAAATTTAATCATTTACATTTTAAATTAAATTTTATTAAAAAATTATTTATTTGATTTTATTTTTATTCTATTGCTGTTTTATAAAAAATATTCTTCAAAAAAAAAAATATTGAGAATTTAGAAGATTAAATTTTGATCTTGTTCAAAATAATTTTAAAACTTTAAATTTTAAGTATTGTTAAAAAGAGAGGATATTGAAAAAAAATACAATTATTATTACTTTATTTTACTTCATTTCCTATAATCCATTGCAAACAAATAAGTTTAGCTTTAGTGTTATATTTATTTATTGGAGTGCATGTTAGTTTAATAATATTTTAATGAATAATATAATTTTTATTAAATTTAAAAATTTGTATGTTACTTTAGTAAATTGTTTTTGTCATATGTTTTTATTAGATCCAAAATAAGACGAATATAAAGATGAAATAAAAGAAGGAAAGAGTTCTATTTCTTAATATTATTGGTGGTGACAATATTATTAATAATAGTCTGCTAATAATGCTTTTGTAGCAAGTAATCATATAACACTACATTACGCACCAAGTTGAGGAACCCATAGAGAGAATGGCTTCCAACATCTTCTAAGTTAGTTTAAATTAATGTTAATTTGGATTGTAAAAAAGTTAATATACCAATTCATAGAATCATACACATGAGTAATGAAAATAAAAATATAAAATTTTAATACGTGTTTGATTTATTATGAAGTTAATTGGAAGTATAAATATAAATATAAATCAGAGCTAAATAATCCTAGAATACATTCTTTAAGAGGAAATATAATTCTATGAACATCCAACGATCAAAGCAGTTTATAATGCACTTGTAATTCTAGAATAGGTAAAATAACAGAATTCCATGCATCTAGAAATATTGAATACATCCATCTTAAGACAGAAAAAGAAACTTCGTTTTCCAATTAATATCATGTATATTTTTTGCTTGTGTGCTACTTTTAGGGTTTGAGATGTGGGTCACTTTTTCAGGTTTGGTCCTTCCTGGTTTTCTAACAAAGTTAACCTTTTTGCCACTTTGGGCCAACTTTTCTTCTATAATAGACCAGAGATCACACACACACACACACACATCTTCCAGTGAAAAGTGAAACTGTTCAACTCATCTATTGAAGTTAATTTCGAATCCTACAACCTCAATTCTGTATTCACAGCCACAGCTCTGCATTCCAGTGCATAAGATCCAAGCCTTGTATCCTCACAGTTGATGTTTTTTTCACCATTTCTTTGAGATACTGAACGATGCAAATCACTCTAGCAAAAACGGAATCCTGCGTGAGAGTGAAAGCGGAGGCCTGCTTTTCAAGCTTTTTTGACTGCATCGAAGCTCGGAAAACCCAATCAACGCATCTCCAGAGACCATGTCGACGTTGATGTGTCTGTCTGCAGAGCAGCCGGTCTGTTGTTACAGTTTGGCTGGGATTATCAGATATCGCGGCATTGTGCTCTGGTAGCCCAGGAGCCCAGTTTTTTTAACACAACGGCAGGAAACCTTTCGACGCTTTAAGAAGTCTTGCCGTGGACTGCAGGCATTTTTGGGTATAGTTTCTACACTGCCTGGAGCTTTACCCACCAGCTGCATGAATGCGGATAAGTTCGGCTTGTGGTGTGGCTCCAACTGTCCGTGTTCGGCCACGTTGGTGTCCATTTACCACCGCGGAGGCCGCCACCTTTGCAGCATCTAGAGCCCCCATCTGCGCATTTTGAGAATGACTGGACGGGTCAACTTATTTGTTTTTATTATAAATTGTTATTGTTCCTATATAATGTACCTTCACAGACGGCTGGCGTGTAAAGTTTTAAGTATTGCTTTTGGTCCAGGTGGTATGTGGAATTGTGTTTGGGAGGATACGAAGGGATGAGATCGGAGTTGAACAGGGTGCACATATTTCTGTTTTCCGGGGTTTCGGGGTTGTGATCTAGTAGCCAGAGCCGGTGGTGGGTTTCGCGAATCAGTCCACGAGAGAAGAGAACGTTTCCTGATTCTAGATGGTCACTGGTAAATATGGTGAATTCATTTGAGGGAAAATAACATCCCTAAGTTTCGATTCTGCTGCTCAGTTGCGAAGGTGTTGCACAGATAAAAGTGGAAGTATCGTGACAGCATGGCACCGAGATTGATGCTGAAAATCGACACCGATCGGGTTTTGGTGGAGTTGGTGGAAGTGGTTTCGTGAGAAAGAAATTCCAGCTGCAGACTCGTCGATTTTATCTGGTTTGAGGGGAAAGAAAGGCCTCAGTCCTTCGTCTTCATTGATCTCCTTCGATGGCATAGTCGTCTCTCTTCTGATTGCAACATCAACGACGCCTCATGTTCTAATCAAACAGCCAGCAGTGGTAGAGAAGTGGTGGGGGGATCGTCCATGTTGTCGAGATTTCATT